TGCTTTTTTCTTTTTTCTTATGTGGTGCTGAGGAATTGAACTGAGGGCCTCAGGCATGCAAGGCAAGCACTCTACCACTGAGCCACCTTCCCAGCCCTCTGTGAGACTCTTATCTCCAATAATCTACCAGAAAACTGGAAGTGGCCCTGTGGCTCAAGCGGTACAGCGCTTGCCTTGAGCTGAAGAACTAAGGGACAGTACCCAGGCCCAGAGTTCAAACCCCACGACAACAAAAAAAAAAGTGCCAAGTATAGTGGCACATATCTATAATCTTAGCATTCAGGAGGCTGATGCAGAGAGATCATACATTTGAGGTCAGCCTGGGCTATATAGTAAGACCTTATCTCCAAAAAAAGGAAAGAAGGGAGGGAGGGAAGGGAAAGGAGAAGGAGGAAGGGAGAGGAGAAGGAGGAAGGGAGAAGGAGAAAGAGGGAGGAAAGAAAGAAAGAAAGAAAGAGGGGCTGGGAAGGTGGCTCAGTGGTAGAGTGCTTGCCCTGCATGCCTGAGGCCCTGGGTTTGATTCCTCAGCACCACATATGCAAATAGAAAAAAGCCGGAAGTGGCACTGTGGCTCAAGTGGTAGAGCGCTAGCCTTGAGCTGAGGGACAGCGCCCACGCCCAGAGTTCAGGCCCCACGACCGGACCCAAAAAAAAAAAAAAAGAAAGAAAGAAGGAAGGAAGCTGGGCGCCGGTGGCTCACGCCTGTAATCCTAGCTACTGAGGAGGCTGAGATCTGAGGATCATGGTTCAAAGCCAGCCCTGGCAGAAAAGTCCGTGAGACTCTTATCTCCAATAAACCACTCGAAAACCGGAAGTGGCCCTGTGGCTCAAGTGGTAGAGCACTTGCCTTGAGCTGAAGAGTGCAGGGATAGTGCCCAGGCCAAGGAAGGAAGGAAGGAAGGAAGGAAGGAGAGAGAAAGGAAGGAAGGAAAAAGAAAAAGGAAGAGAGGGAGGGAGGGAGGAAAGGAGAGAGGTAAGGAAGGAAGGAGGGAGGGAGGAAAAGAAGGAGGGAGGAAAGGAAAGAAGGAAGCAGACTGGCAGAGCTGAATTCCTTTTCTATTTTGGTTAAAAGGTTAAAAAATTCTCAAACACTCTTTCTCTTTACTAAATACTCTTTAGAACTGTGGGAAAAAAAATTCTCAATCAACACACCTACAAGTTACCATGACCATATAATGCAGTGAGTTCCTTCAGCCTCCTGCCCCTTAGTTGTTCCTCAGCCTCTACTGTGAAGTGAATCTGGGAGCTTGTAAGAATGTAGCAATTAGGGATCCACCAATGCTGATTCTGCAGGTGTAGGGTAGAGCCTAGAGATGTGTTTTGGGGGAATGGTGGGAAACTGAATTAAGGAGCTCCAGGGCACTCTGATGATGGTGGTCTTAACTCTGAGCCCTTTGGACACTTCCAATTCTCCAAATAAAATGGATGAATATTCCTAGTGTCTCTCTTCTCTGGGCTAAGCTTCAAGAAAGATTTTGCCAAAGAAGCAAACAGATGGCCAATCCCAAATCTGACCAGCAGGCCCCTGAGGGGGAGGGCTTTGGCCTGTAACCAGTTCTTGGTCCTCAGGAATTAGACAGGCTTACCTGGAATGCTGCAAGCTGCTGGGGGTTGTCAGAGCCTGAAAAGGACTTGCGGCTTTGGGTCCCAGAAAAGAAATTTCAGGAAAGGATTTAAACTGACGGTGGAAGGGACGAAACTTCCTGAAACAAAGAAAACTTGGATTTTGACTACAGTGGGCAAGGGAGAAGCTGGGAAGGAACTAGCCCAACTCTAGCATCCCAACCTTGACATAAGATCTCAAGCAGACTTTCTAAGCTAAACTAATACTTAGTGGAAGACTATTTAAACCATAATACTGCACGTTTCTTATTCTGTGAAGGGAAGCATTTCTGTACTAGGCTCATCCCTGGTACTATTTGAAGGGAACCCTTCCCTCCCTCCCTGTGGACAGGAGTGTTCTCAATAAAGAGGAGAGGCACAGTGAAAGAATCTGGATGGCCAGCCTTGTCTTGAGTAGTTCTGGCAATATGCCTGAAGTTTCAAATATACAAGAGACTTGTGTATCAGACAGAGCCTGCTATGTGTGTACTCAGCAAACCTTGTTGACTGAGGTCACTGCCAGGCTTGGTGCGCCTGGTGATTGTGGTGCCTATGGTCTGGGGATAGAGTAGAGGCCTGGCAGCAGGGTGAGCCTGTGGCACCAGGAACTTACACTCTTAAGGCGAGAAGGATGTCCGTAACTCACGTCAGCATCCCTCTTCCTCTTTCATGTTTTGCTTCTGCTTAGGATTGAAACTTTTTTTTT